TCACAGTGGTTCAGGATAGTTTATTGAGAACTCCACTGGCGATCCCACTTCGCCGGTCGATCTCTTCCTCACATTATCCATCATCACTAAACACTACCCAGAAATAGATGAACCTGTGACACTGCTCCTCCGTTTATCTGTAGAGTGCAAGGTGCATGAGTTCGAGAAAACAACAGAATTTTAGTTTCATACATTTCACGAATGTTCATGACATATTACGGTCAAACATATCCATACAATAATAAACTAAGTAATGAATTAATCACTATGTAAATAGTGTTTTCCAGCCGTCCAGTTCTGTTATTTTTACCCAACTCATGGGCAGAAAAACTTGACTGTATACCACTCTAGGGGTCGGTGGCACAGTGGTAAGAGGTCGGTTTCAAACAGACTTCGAATGGAATTTCGAAAAGAGTAACCCACCGTTACATTTAGCGAAACAATTCTTTGTGCTGTTTGTGCAATATTACAAAGTACGAACGTACTGTTAAAAATGGTAGTCTAACTGAGTCAGTAACGATCTGTAATACTTTCGTTCATGGCACATTCATTATGATCGTCCTACAGCTTCACAAATGTTGTAAACGTCTGAGTTCAATAACATTAAGACAGGCTACTAGAGGACACAAAGCAGTTAAACCGGCAAACTCCTTTATCACGAAGTTTTCTAAACAGGTAAATACAAATGAATAAAAAGATAAATTAACACAGCTGTGTGACTGAGAACTGATTACTGAAGCGATTTTACTTCCCATACAATTAGGTAAGGAAGTTCCCGTTTCGAAGCCGCGGCCGTTTTACTGTAGCATTCGTCATCGTCGCCTATAATAATAGATATTGGAGTAACAGCAGCACCATAGCGGTATTCGCTAGACGTAATACTTACCCATCCTGAAATCAATATAACCGTCACCGCCGGATATCACGATCACCGATTTGTGTTTGTCTCCTTCGGCATTGATCTGTGACCCATCCATCGACTGGGCACTGGGCGAGCTAAGACAAACATAGTCTAAAATCATGAATTGAGGAACATGAAAAGCCGGGCTGGAAAAAGCAGAATATAACCTGTGGTTGCTACGAAAAATTTCACGGCGTCCTTATGACCATGGAATGAAAACTGTGCTTTCAACAGACTACAGTAAGGAAGGTCGTGGACGTTTTCGCCCTCTCCACCGCCTTCCACGAGGTGCTCGGAATTAACGCGTCTCACGATACCTGGAACTTTGCATTGGCTGTCCAAATCGACCAGTGATTTTGAGTTAGTGCACAACGAGTCATCGTCTATATTTTACACATGTAAAAAAGCAAGTTGAACATAAAACCTTAAAAGCATGGATTAGCATATCGATTGCTACTCTGCGTGATCGGGATTAGAAGTCTACATTCATACCTCTTATTATGCAAAATATTTGTGGTTGCACGAGTCTATTTATTTCGATTATGAGTACATGAGCTTGTATTTAAAGCTAAGTCTGTGAAGCTTCGTACTCGGAACCGAGAATTATTGAGTTCCAGCCAAAGTCAAGTAAGTGTAAAGGAGATGTACATTTCAACGGCCACCAACTCTGTTTTTCTGAGTGGTGCGCAGCAACATATTTTCTGATCATTTACATTCAGACGTCATAAATGTAGGTTTCTCAATTGTTGAGGTTCTGTTAACTTCAGATCACGATGACAAACCCCAGCATAGATTGTGAATTTATTCCCAATGTGTTGACAACGATCATGGCTCACAAGCGCTACTAAAGTTAATTTGTCTAATGAAAATACTCTAACCTTCAAGTTTAAGCTTTTCAGCTCCTGCGATAAATCTACGGTTTATACAAGGTACTTATGTTTAATAGTTAGCAGTGGGGCGAATTGCAGCTGTAAGTTTCGTACCTTGTAACATAATCACACCAGAAGATAGTACTGCTGCTGTTCGCAGGTCAAAGATTCGCTATTCGCGTCTCCTTCGATTGCATTCTCTAAGTAATTAGTACTTGATAAGAACATTTATGCTTCCCTGTCACTCGAACCCGACACTTCTGACATGCAAACTTAAACTACAATCTACTGCCTCTGGTTAACTCTACAATGTCTCACTTTCAAGCGGAATCGAAATGATGACTCCATTTCCGGTGCCGATCCAAAGTCGCTTGCATGATTCCATCAGAGCTGTCACTCTGACGAAAGAGAAACCGAATTTGTTGGTTCCTTAAAATGAACGAGGTTAGGCGTAAGCGGGATTTGGGCGAAAACCAATGTTACCTAAAACTTTGCTGACGTACGGCTCGATGTCAATGTCTTGCAGCGGCATGTAAGAGTCAGAATGGAATAGTCGCAGCGTTGAGTCGAGTCTGATCGAACACCACACACCCCGACCAACACAGATCAACTGACGTACTTGACTCTCTTTGCGCGAATATGCGTCGAACGTTTTCTAAACTGCATGCTGTTTTATACATAAACACTAGCCGACGAACCGGCTACTATTATCGATAAGGTTGTACAGTCAAGGACGTGGATCTTATTGCGGTACGCACACCACATGTTATCTCCAACGGCGCACAGACAGCGAACCGAATACTGTGGCCAACCGAACACCACAACGTGGGCGCCGTCAAACCGCCAATCCCCAGCTGAAAAGCACAGTGCATTAAGTCACACAAAATGATAATTGATAATAGACTGTAAAATACGGAATGGAGAGGCATGTGAATCAATACAAACATGAAATGTCAAATGATCTCCAGATAGCGGTATACTGCAGGAGCAAATAAGCATCTCATGCTAGAATATAAGAATGTCAGTAAAGGGAATATAAAAATGAACGTGAACCGGCCAGGAAGGACAATAACGCTGGCGCTAACACGGTCGTGGTAAAGAATGAGCTGAGCAGTAATATGAATTGGTAGGTATTAAAGTCGGCCTATGCATTTACCCCTATGGTATTCGGTGCTGCAGACTAACGAAAAAGCGCGATCCCGGAAACATTTTATTACTGAGGATTCTTTGGCAGATTTCTGGTGTAACAACATTTAACCCGGTTCGGAACACGAAAGCTCCAGATATCCTCGTTTTTGTACCGTTTTTGTTACTCTCCGCATTATCACGATGAAAAGCAGCGCAAGGCTAAACCAACTATTAAAGAACCAGAACGATTGGAAAATCCTCCTGAAATCCCCGCGACGCAAAAGAAAGAATGAGCACTGAAAACGAATGAAATACGATGTCTGATCGTCATTACTTTCGCTGCGAGAGAAAACGGCCGCAGTAGCATCGGCCAACGCAACGAATACCCGGTTGCAATTGTACCTAACAATCAGACTGTAGTGCGTATATGTAGGTTAATAACTGTACTCACGTGATATTTAAAATTGCGTCGGGCAGCTTGATCTTTTTAATGCACTTCCGCCAATTAACCAAACAAGAATGAATGAACAAACTACAAATACGGAATAGGCGACAAGTTAAAGTTATCAGAGGACAAAATTCAACTGTCTTACTGTCCACTTTGTGAACCCATCCAAATTGTAGGCAACCGTTTCACGATCGACATGCGTCGCTCCGCGGCCGCGCCATCACCTTTGTCCACCGTTACCTCACCAGACCCTGAAAAGTGGACATAGTATAAAGTTCATTACATCTGCAAGCCCTTGGACAAAAGCTGGTTTAGCACCTTTGTTTACAAACATTGGATGGTACGACTAGATGTTCACCCCGTGAATACAGGATGACGACTATTACTTACCTGCTGTTTCTTCCTGCACTTCATGGCCATTATCATTATCATGATAATTATGCACACCAGAATTACTGTTATGGTTTAACAGAACTTTTGTCGATACCTGTTGATATTCGCATCAAAAACAAAGACTTGTTTGTCAGGTGACAATCAATATGACAGGTGGAAAATAATAAATGATTGATTTTTAATGATCAGTCAAGCTTCTACTAATCCAGTTTCGCAACACTACAAAGTGAAGATATGACAGAAAACGTTGGTAGTGATGAATGCCATCACTCCCTCATAAAAATGAAACATCCTGAATTCTTACCTTCAGTATCCGGTTGCTGAGTGGACATGGAGACGCCAGCGTTTCCCTGTGGTGAAAGACCTAAAATGAACGCCGTAATGACGAAGCTGACAAAAGTTTATGTACCTAACATTGACGTTGAATCCATTGCCTGAGCGGAAGAATCGGAAGAAGATTCGGTTTCTGAAAACTCTAGCGAACCAAGTTGCAGCCACGTGATTCTTCCTAAAGCCGCGAATTCTTCTTTTTCATTGGGCTCGCTTCCAGGTTCACTGACCTTGATACTTTCAACGTTATCGTCATTTAGACAGGAAGGATCTGACATTCCTGCAATGAGATATTGCGACAAGAATAATGCAACGATCACATTCGAAACCTGGAATACTCGCAGCACACAGCAGATGAGAATTGCACACCGTAAATGAGTCGATTACCGCATCAGGACGACTGGCTTTAATAATAGATACCAGGCTCTTGCCATACATCGAGCTGCAGATCCACACCAGGCTAAGGTTGACACATTGCATGTTTTCCTCCTGCCCTTGGTTAAGGGTCTTCACAAAACAAATATGATGTTAACTAAGGTTACAAGAAAGCGGAAGCATACACAACGGTACGTACGTAACTTATACAGGGTATGACTACGATACAGAAGAATGAGAGCGAATCTAAAAATTTGTTTTCACACTTACATCGGTTGAAATGTCTCTTAAGTATGTTGCCAGCAAAGACCTTTTTTCAGGGTACTTGACGTAACGAAGGACGTCATTTTCGACGTCAAAGCCGTGCAACGTCGACTGATCAAACGTTACCTGTGTGGCGCACCAAGTCTGAAAAGGAACACGTCAGATCTATGAAGAAAGCACACAACAAAAGTTCTTGCTTTTAAGTTATTCTCGTCCTCTAGGAGTGGCTGGCAAAACAATGGGACGGGTACAGCTGAATTCTTAGCATAAAGAGAAGATACGCTCCAGCCATACGCCTGATACCTGCCAGCTTCGTCTTTCTGGACATGTGCCTTCACGTGCTTATACTGTTCCTTTCGTTCAGCCGATCGCTTTTCATTGGAAGCACTGAAAACATCGATAGGCCTTACAGTCAAAACAGTTACGGAGATACAGCGCAGAAAAATGATTTAATATAAAAATTGATTAAAAATTTGTTTACCACTGTGGTACTCGCATCTTTTCACACAGCTCACTATTCCTGCTGCTACTCTGTCATAAGCCGAATAAGGTTTCCTACATGCTACAGTAGGTAATCAATCGAATAATCAACATCAAGCTGGATTCAAAAGCAATATAATTACAGATGTCCAAAACACTCCAGTCACCTGGAAACACGTCTTCAACCTGGAATCGTGCAGTGTAGCTCTGCAAATAGTCAGTTTTTTGAGTTACTTCTCTGGCATCCTCAAGTATTCAAAAAACTGCAATGAACTACTATGATCTAATGAAAAAGTTTTTGAACTTATATTGTTCTGGCTAAGCAGTGATTTTGAAGCAATTCGTTTTTTCATCACCCCTTCCTTGGTACTGAACCAAAATTGAAGTAAGTCATGTGCAAATCTTCAGTCCGTTTTCCTGACGAATGAAACGCTCAAAATGAATCTTGATAAAAAAAATGTGCACATAGATGAGCCTAAATGTCGCTTCTCTCAAAGGTGTAAAATTTTTCCATTAACTCCAAGATCGCAATTAATTCACCAGAAAGATCTGCCTGAAGTGCTTTTCTGCAAAGGTAACGTAGACGTTCATGATTCATAAAACGAGTTGTGAGTCTTGCCGTAAAAATTACTGTGGCACTTGGTAAAGAATAATCAAAAGAAATTCAACGTCTATACAGACGCTGTTTCGAATAAACAGATGGTCTCGACAATGAGAAATGATTTACCAACATCCACACCAGACGATTTTTCCGAACCATCCATATGCAACCATGGCACAATTACCATTATTACTTTTCCGTAACTAAGCGCAGCTCAAAAATTCGGTTTAAGGGAAACCAAACTACTTACTATTCAGAGTCCAAGAAATCCAATGGCTTGGCTCTGTTCTCGTGCTTGCGAACGACTGGATCAGATCCTGGAGCGTTTTCCCTGGAATGGTGGTTTTTCCTCACATGCATCTGAATAGAATGAGCGTTGTTTGGCGTTGCGGAGTGGAAAAGTCCGCTGAAGCTGGAAAACAACAGCACAGAATAAACAATTATATATTTCGTTTCTTACATCATCAGACATAATTAAAAACAAGCCACGATTTAGACACTAAGAGAAAACAGATAAAATGCATGTATGTTCTCAGCGTAGTGCAACCTTTCCTCCCTCTCATCATTTCGTGATTTCTTTTAACCTTACCTCATCCTCCCCACCCTTGCTTCGTCAGTTTTTCTCAGGCATTCATCCTTCACCTCTTTCACGGTCCTTCTTTACCTTTCATTCGCTATTTCCTTCCACCCATCTGCTCTTCCTGAAGACTTACTGGCAACAATACTGCCGGTGTATACTTACAATTCCAAAATTGGCGAGCGCTTGCGCTTCGCGAATGGGTCGTTTCGGGAGGCACGGATCATCTCCGTCCACCGTACCGCTTCCTGTAGTTCGAACAGCTTCTCCTTGTACTGATTACGTTCCATCAACACGCGCGCCATCTCAATACGAGTGAAACGTTTTCTCTGAGCCATTGGAATATCATTCTAAAACATATGTTACTGCGCACATAATGTTGCATAATCGGCTATCGTTTACTAAACAATTAGAAGCACGCTTTTTGACTTTTCTGAGTACTGCAAAATGTAGCCACGTGATAAGCTCATTGGATAAAATCAAGCTTTTACCACACATTCCTCACCACCTTAACGAAAATTTTATACCTGAGAGATTTTCGAATGAAAAATGAATAAGATCAATTTCTGATGCCAAATCATTTGTGTTTCATTTCTATCACCATCATTCACCGTTTTCTGCATATTTTGCTCAACTATTTGGTCTGTGGATATTCCACAGCCAGCTTAATTGTATATTTCAGCTGTAACTGCTAATTTCATAAAACCTCTTTTATTCGTTATTCTTGGCTACAGGATGTTGTACACACACTTATATAATGGTTTTCATATTACTGATTCCCATTTTTCCTTTAAGAGAACTGTTTAAGAAATTCATAATTAAATAACTTTTTTTACATTATATGAACTGATTTACTTTTCAGTCACAATTCATATAAGTACCTGTAAAAGTTTTTTTGTATCTAAACCTATATCAACATATTCTACGTAAACAGGATTTACCTATGACGCATTTTCATACATTTTAGAAATAAATTTCAATGACTGTTCAAGATCTTCTTCTAGGTTTCCGGTCAGATCAGTCATCGCAAATCGAGTTGCATTACAGGAAGGATAAAAATCAGAGTTTTTTGGATAAGGGCAACTGATCAGCTGACTGTTATTTTCATTGTTTTCTTATCGCCAAAACAATATTTAACTAGCACCACAGACCAAATCTTGCCTTGTGGGTAACAGGTACCAGCAGCTGCGAATGAATTCCAACCTTCATGACCGTCAACCAACCTCCTTATCATGAAGAAGGCTCCTGTGATAAATGAAACGTTGGTAATGGGCACTCATTCAAATAACCATAACATTTTTTGCATAGTCAATAAAAAAATCTTTCTTTCCAGCTTTCAGCATGATTATGCCACTAATATACGAGCGAAATACTCAGTATTTCACAAGCAGATATGCAAAAAAAGGCTGTACAGAACTAATAAGTTTGCCTAAATTCTTGTCCATGCTTTCACTGTTTCCTTGTGTCCATTCCATTTATCAGAACTTTTCATAGTTTCTTTTCTATAAATATCCGTCTCCTCATCCAATATTTATAGTAGGACAGCTAATTGTTTCAAATATCGTGGTATCACATTACTGCCAACAACGTGAAAACGTTTCTCCTGGATTATGGAAAAACTGAGTCAGGTAACATGGGAGACTTCGTCCAAATCAACCAAGCTTTCGGATGGAGTACTACTGCTGGTCAAATTTTTCTGAGAGAAGGCACGGAACAATGCTGACGATTTCAACTGTCTTGGTTTACCAGCTTCCTCTACTCTAAGACTAAATCTGATTCCCCACATTGTTTGACGATGAGGAAAATCTTGAAATGCAACAATATGCTTGAGCATATCATCTCAATTTTGGGAGAGATGTATGCAGGAACCAGGTATGGTGTCAAAACTAAAGAAAAGATATCTGAATGGTTCTCAATTATCTGTGCAATTCACAGGTACGATGTGCTTTCACATTTGCTACTCAACCGTTATCTCGACTTTGTTCTTTGAAACGTGCTGACCCTGCCAAAGTCGAAGGTTTCATTTTAGAGGGAAGGCGGAACAGTTCAAGGCTATCCACGAGCTATTTTCTTCGCCTCAAATAAGCATACGATATTATCTTAGTGAATAATAAGGAGTTGAAATGATCATGATGATGCTATGTCCGAAATGCCGAATACAGAGTCCTTCATACCGATGGGCGATTTTAATGCGCAGGTCGGACTACACGCTGGAATTTGGAACGGCGTGATTAGGAAAAACGGCCCTAGCGACCTCAACAATAACGGCATGAAGTTGTTGCGGCTTCGTGCAAACAACAGATTCTTCATCATGAACACCTTCCTCCAGCATCGAAAAGTGCATCAATACACCTGGTACCGGGAAGCTTGTGCACAGAAGTCGATGATCCATTTGATAATCGTATCGTCTGACCTAA